CCTTAAATTAGTTTTTTGTAAGTCAAATTTGTACCTTATAAATAAGATAGTAAATTGTACAATGTGAAAAGTTGAAGTCTTTACAGAATATATTAGTTAACATTTTAAACAAAAATACTCAACTATTACGAGATGTGGGAGGGCCCTTAAATTTTTATATTTTTTAAAAATACTTGGTAAATATTATTTTTTCCTTAGTCTAAACTATAAACTCAATATAAAAGTTAGTTTGGTAATTCGAAAATTTTGCAGGAATGGGACACCCTAAGGTATACATTTTTTTCCACAATAAATAACATTTATTATACATTTCAAAATTCGTTTTTTGCTATTAAGAATTAATTGAATGAAAAAGAAACTAAAACTACAAAATTAAATGTATATATTCTTTTTATGACTTTTTCATATATTTTCGTTAACTTTAATTACAGATACTAACTTAAACAGAATTAAAAAATAGCATTAAAAAAGAATAAAGTAAAAAAAAAATTCAAGCCCAAGTAGTAGGTGACCAAAGCCAAGGCCCCGGTCACTTACTACTTGGGCTAAGTTCAGAGAATTATATCCCCTTTTAACAGCAAGAGGTGTTTCATTAAAGATTAAAGGAAAGTTATACAGCATATACATCCAGAGTGTTATGATGTATGGCAGTGAAACAAAGGCAATCAAGGTCAATGATGTCCAGCGTTTGGAAAGGATAGAAAGAATGATGATTAGATGGATGTGCAGTGTGACTCTAAAAGACAAGAAAAGCAGTGATGATTCAAGAAAAAGATTAGGCATAGTGAGTGTATCTGATAGGGTGTATCAGGAAAGATTAAGGTGGTTTGAGCATGTAGAGCGTAAGAATACAGATGACTGTTTATCAGCATGTAAAAAGTTAAAAGTTTCAGGAGAAAGAGGTAGATACAGAAAAACTTGGAAAGAGTGTGTTTCAGATGATTTAAAAAAGCTACATTTCAGGAAAAAAGATGTTCAAGTGTATGTTGGAGAAACGACATTATAAGAAACACCCAACCCATACAGGGAGAGAAACAAGGACACTAAAATGATATGATTAAATATATTCTGAAATTAGTTGTTAACATTTCAAGGATATTTACAATAGTACAAATACTAATATAAAGTAAATTCCTAACAAATACAATAACTTAGTTAAAAACATAAATTTAGTTAAGCTATCAACAAGTTATACAAATAAAGTAAAAAATAGTTTACAAATACAACACATCTATATAAATAACAATGAAAATAATAATAGTAATAATAATATGATATTAAATTAATATCATTAGTATTAATAATTATTATTAATATTTATTAATAATTAGTACTAATAATTATTATTAATACTCGTAATTAAAATAAAAATAAACATCAAATCAAAATTAAAGCTAAAATATATCAATAATAAGTAATAATGATAGTTAAGTATTAAATATGTATTTACATAATATCACCTAAAAACATAATAATAACAAAATAATAATATTGATAATAATAGTGAGTGTGCGTTTATATAAATATTGCTACCAATATTTATATATAAACGAGTTACCTTGTCTTTCTTTTTATATTTATATAGTATTTCCCCGCCTTCCGAAACCATAAACTTTAAGGCTTTTTTTCTAATTACTCTTTTTTCGCCTTCTTGACTTCCATCAGGGTATTGCTTTTTACTTAAATAAGTAAAAACATTTTAAACAAGGTCGTCTTCCATGATAATTTTTAAGATATATGCGCACATGCAAAAAATTATAACACGGACCAATTTTTTCTAGCTCAGAACAATTTTTTCAAAAAAAAATTATCCGGCCGGATATATATTTTCTGAGAAATTTAGTCCAATGTCATTTTTATCGGCGGACCAAAATTATCGTGACAATGCACAATTATATAAACTATGCAATCATTGATTGGGGAAGTACAGATAAAAGTAAAACATTCAAAATATTTTTTTCATTATATGAAGGTTCTAGATGTTTATAAACTGATCTTACTTAATGTCTTATGTTTTACTTTTAAATGGAAAAACAATTTGTCTATATTTGTTTTTAACGACCTTTTGCCTTTAAAACCAATAAATAAATACACATTAAGAAATAATAGTTTTTTAAATGAACCTTTTTGTAGAACCATGTTCAATCAGTTTTGTATTTCATATCGTGCACCCCATCTTTGGAATAAAATAGTATTACCAAATTTTGATCCTTCTATTATTCTTCCTGTTTTTAAAATTAAGTTAAAAAAATTCATTCTCTCTATGAAGAACATTTTAAAATTCTATTAAAAATGTTTGTAAAATGTATTTGTTAAATCTTCAGCTTATTATTTACTAAAATGTGTTGTATCTTTGCTTAAAGTAAATACGTTAAGTCTTCTATATATATGCATGTTATAAATAAATATTTTTACTTTTTAAGCTTCCGATGATCCTTATGACCTTCTTTCGGAAACCTAGCTTTATATTGTTAGTGCGCTGAATTGTATCATTTACGTAATTGTATTACGACTTATGTTTATGTATCAATTGTATTACGACTTATGAATTATGTAACTCTACTAAACTGAAAAAAAAAACAGAAAAAAAAACCATGACTCTATAAACTTGTTTGTTAAATTTAACAGCGCTTAAGCTTTTTGGTGCTTTTTTTAATTGTCGATTGCCTTGAGTAGCAAGTTAAGGCGATCCACAATTTAAAAAAGTACTTTACTTGACAAAACCTCTTTCATTTTTTTAAATATCCTTCTTATCCCCTCAGTCTTTTTCAACATAAAAGGCTTCATTTATTTTTAAATCTTAATGGGAACTCGTGGACAACCTGCAACATTCTTATGTGTCTTTGCAAGATGCCCCTTTAGCTTTTTAATTCCACCAGTGATTATCTTCTGACAAAAAATGCATTCAAACTATATATAAGTTTTGCCTTCCTGCAACGTGATTGGAGGAAGTTCAACAAAATACTCCTAACCACGATCAGTCCTTCCCCTTTTTTTTGACAACTTTACCACATCTTTAAAGCTGCAAATTTGTGAAATAGTCAAAAAAAAACAAAAAAAAAAAAAACAATGAACAATCATAGTGAGCTGCAATTGATGATAAAATTCCATGAAATGAATCTAATGGTTAGTTAACACGATTATTCGGACATATAAGTATTTATTACATTTATAACATTATAATATTATAACATTAGATTTGATAATACAATTTCAAAATATATAAGTAAGATATATATTTATAAATTTGACTAAATCCACCATAATCATTCTGATACATTAATTTTCTTTAATGTGTCTTATCGTGACAAAAAAAAGATATATTCTATAGGGGTTAGGATATCTCTTTTAGGATATCTTAAAAGAGATACCCTATATTAAATTATTTAACTCATTAGACAGCCTATATTAAATTATTGAGCATTAAAAGAAATATACTAAAATATGTGGTTGTATCATATGAATCCCATGCGTAACTCATGCGATATTTTCTGTACGGGTTTGATGTTACGAATTTCCGTACAGTAACTACATGGAAAAGTCCATCCCAAACGAATCCCATGAATACCACATGAAACCCACATGTTGAACACGGTTTTTTTTACTGGAAAAATGTAAGTCACTCTAAAAGCTCCACCATTATTATAAATTGTTATATAAGTAATAGATTTTTAAAAATAATTATAGAAGTATTTGAACTTTCATTTATCTGGTATCAACAGTTGTTGAATAATATAATAATTGAACTTATATATATAATGTACATATATAAATAATGGTATAAGTTAAATTATATCATTTAGATTAAAATATATGTGGCACTTAAAATCTATAAAGTATGTTGTATTTTCTACCTAGATCTCATGTGGAATTTAGCATATAAAAACCATGCAAGACAAAAAATAGTTACTGCATGAGTAAAATGCGGGAAAAACACGTGTACAATTTACCATATATAACCCGTGTACAATTTACCATATATAACACGTGTACAATTTACCATATATAAATACACACGTGTAGAATTTACCATATATAACCCATTTGGGATTTACCACCTATATCCCAAGTGGGGTTTACCATCTATATCTCATGTGGGATTTACAATGTGAAACCCACGTGGGAGAAAATAATAATCCCTATATAAGTTACATGTGGAACAAAACTACGCGTATCCCGTGTGCGATTATTCACTGGAAGGTAGCTCTCCACTTCAAGCAGATAGTATAACTCAATGATGAAATAGTTTAAGAAACAAATGTGATCGATGAAATGAAAATCGAACAAAAAATTTCTAAAAGTTTTAATGTCTTTTCTGGAATTTCCCAGAAATTAATTATGATATTCTTTCAATTTACTTTAAGTTTTGTATAAGATCAAAAGATTTGAGGGTTCGACTTAACGTTGATGAACTCAAAGAGTCCAACATTTTGTGGCCTAACACAGAAAGTAAATATTCAGGGAGACATCATTTAGATTGTCTTTTTTTAGGTCAAAAGTTATTTAGGTCAAAAGTTATTTGTTTTAAGTTTCTTTGAAATACAATTAAAGAACTCAGTGTTTAGCTAAATCAGTAATATTTTTTCCAAAAAGAAACAACAGCTCTCAACTATCTAGCTAAAAATATGATAAGCAATCAATTCCTTAAAAAATTAAATGGTTTACGATTTATAATATTCTAGTTTTTAAGAATATAAATATTATAAAGTTAATTGCTTCAAACCTAGTAATTATGGTTAAATACTATAAAGTTAATCAATCGCTCCAAACTTAGTAATTATGGTTAAAGAACTATTAAATTTAAAATCTCCGTTTCAACACTCTTGCGACTTACTACTAAACAGATTGTTCATTTAAATAATGCAACAAATCCAAATAATATTTTTAATTTTATAAATTAAAAAAAAAATTGCAAAGATTACTACTTACTACTAAACAGATTGTTCATTTAAATAATGCAACAAATCCAAATAATATTTTTAATTTTATAAATTAAAAAAAAATTGCAAAGATTAATTTCATTGAAAAGTTTTTTATAGAAAGTATTATCACGAGAACTCCAAACTAGATTTGTTAACAATCCTTTTCGTAACATTCTTCAAAATAAATGAAACATCCAACAAAAAAGATTTTAAACATTTTTTTTTTCCTAAAGTCATATTAGTATGTGGCTCAAGTAATAAATAAATAGATTTAGTAGATAATGTTTAAAAATTATTAATAATGTAAAAAGTACTCTTTATAAACTGTTTATAACCTAACTGCCAAAACTCAAATAAATTCAAAACTTCAATCTTTCTTTCTACACAAAAAAATTGCAATATTATTTTTTTGTTTTTATTGTTGATACCTAACATTTCAGTGTTTATTTTATCAACAGAATAACGAATTTCTAGAACTTCATTTTATTTTTCCGTATCGGACAAACAGCTTGCGAAATTATTTTTTGTATCCATTGTTGATAAATAGTTGATACCTAAAATTTTAGTTTGTACTTTATTAACAGAATAATAAATTTTAAAAGCCTCGTTTTATTTTCCTATATCTTTCAAACAGTTTGCGATATTATTTTTTGTACGCATTGTTGACGGATGGTTGATGCCTAAAGTTTCAGTTTGTATTTTCTCAACAACATAATAAATTACTAAAGCTTCGTTGTATTTTCCCATATCAAACAAACAGTTTGCAATATTGTTTTTTGCATACATTATTGACGGATTATTGATACCTGAAATTTCAGTTTCTATTTTTTCAATAGAATAATAAATTTCTAAAGCTTCGTTATATTTTCCAATATGGTTCAAACAGTATGCTATATGATTTTTTGTATCCATTGTTGACGGATGGTTGATACCTAAAGTTTCAGTTTGTATTTTATCAACAAAGTAATAAATTTCTAAAGCTTCGTTATATTTTTCCACATCGCTCAAACAGTTTGCGATTTTATTTTTTGTTCCTAATGTTGACGGATGGTTGATACCAAAAACTTCAGTTTGTATTTTATCAACAGAATAATACTTTTCTATAGCTTCGTCATATTTTCCCATTTGGCTTAAACAGTATGCGATATTATATTTTGTATCAATTGTTGACGGATGGTTGATACCTAAAATTTCAGTTTGCATTTTATCAACTAAATAGAAAATTTCTAAAGCTTCGTTATGTTTTCCCATATGGCACAAACAGCTAGCTATATTATTTTTTGTACTCATTATTGACGGGCTGTTGATGTCTAAAGTTTCAGTTTCTAATTTTTCAACAGAATAAAAAATTTCTAAAGCTTCTTTATATTTTCCTGTATTAAACAAAAAGTATGCGATATTATTTTTTGTATACATTCTTGACGGATGGTTGATACCTAATTTTTGAGTTTGTATTTTATCCACAGAGTAATAAATCTCTAAAGCTTCGTTATGTTTTCCCATATGGCTCAAACAGTATGCGATATTGATTTTTGTATGCATCGTTGACGGATGGTTGGCACCTAAAATTTCAGTTTGCATTTTATCAACAGAATTATAAATTCCTAAAGCTTCGTTATATTTTTCCATACGGTTTAAACAGAATGCGATATTGCTTTTTGTATCCATTGTTGACGGATGGTTGATACCTAAAATTTCAGTTTGTATTTTATCAACAAAGTAATACATTTCTAAAGCTTTGTCATATTTTTCCAAATCTCTCAAACAGTTTGCGATATTATATTTTGTACACATTGTTGTCGGATGGTTGGTGCCTAAAATTTCAGTTTGCATTTTATCAAGAGAATAATAAATTTCTAAAGCTTCGGTATATTTTCCCATATTTCTTAAACAGCTTGCAATATTATGTTTTGTACACCTTGTTGTCGAATGGTTGATACCTGAAGTTTCAGTTAGTATTTTATCAACAGAATAATAAACTTCTATAGCGTTGTTATATTTACCCATATCGTGTAAACAATCACCAATGTTCAATTTTGTATCAAGAGTTAGTTTATTATTTTCTCCATAAGTTTCTGCATTAAAATTTTGAAGAGCTTTTAGTATTTCAATTACTTCTTGAAATAAACCTTTAGGTATTAAGAAACTATATATAACACTTGATGCACGGTGAAAAAATTCCGTCATTTCTTTTCTATTTTTTTGAAACATGTACAGAAAATGATTAACAAAATTGTTTCCGTAATCAGCGTGATTGTTTATGCCTTTTAACTCAAAGTTAAAATAATTCTTGATAAGATTAAGGAATGTTTTTGAACAAGAAGTTTTACTTTGAAAATATTTACAGGACAACTGTGTTAGATCATGCATTGAATATTTTCCATCGCCAAAAGAATCTAGTAAGGAATAAGTGACTAGTAATCGAATGGTGTCATCAATTAAATATTCTTCGTCTATTGACAAGCATTTTGAAATTTGGACTATAAAATGCTTGGTGATGTTCTGACCATCACAATGTGATAAACAGTTTAGTAATTTTAAAGAAAAGCTATCATCATTTTCTAGTTTCATTAAAACTAAATTGATCGTTTTTACAGCAGACATTGGTTCTTCTTCGGTATCATTATCTAGTATTTGTACAGGATATAGTCTATATCGATCAATATACGTTTCAATTGAAACTGAGTGTGCGTTTATATATTTTATCGCCTGAGTGATTGCAAAAGGGTGAAAACCAAGTTCTTTTATTAATTCTTTTAATTTTTCTTCGGTATTTGTTTTAATGTTATTTTTTATATAAAGTAATGCTTCATCAGGAGAAAAAACATCTAATGACATTAAATTTACGTTATGTGACCACGTTCTCCATTCGGTGGTGATCAAAGTAAAAGACTTCGGATACTTTGAAATGTATATTTTAAAATTTCTAACACTTTCATTGTCAATATTGTCAAAAATATACAAGGTCTTTTCGTTTTTAAAATGGTTATGTATTTTTTCTATAATAACATCGATATCGACATAATTGGTTTTTGTATATCCTAGATTTTGATAAAGAGCTTCTATTGAGGTTCTTAATTTTCCAAATGCTGCGTCAATCCAAATAACGTTTTCATAAAAATTTTCATTTTCTTCACAGTACTTTCTGGCAATTTGTGTTTTTCCAACACCTGACATTCCGCATAATACTAAAGGCTTTTTCGTATCTTGTAATTCGACCAATAAACGGTGTACTTCACTAAGTTCTTTGTTACGTGGATGAAAATTTTTCAAAGAGGGTTGGACACCAAATTTTGAATTCAGGGATAATTCTACAAAAAAATTTAAAAAGATTAGTAAATGATTGGTATCTTTTTAATAGAAGATTTTAAAGTCCAACACTTTTTATTGTTATAGAAGAATTTGCGAAGAATTTTATTTCTCGAGTGTTTAGATATAAATAAAATTTATTTTTCCCGACGCGTTTTATTAGCAAATTCTCTAATATTAAAAGTAAAAATATTATGTGCGTTTTATTACAAAGCGTCGAATGACTGAATAAGTTTGAGTTTCAATAATGCGATTTGGCATAAGTTCGAATTGAAATAAGTGCGCCGAACAAAGTTGCAAATATTAACATGAGTGGGAATTGAAATTTTGCACTAATGCCAAATCGCACTTATACTATGTTTGCAAATTCTTTTGGCGTACTTATGCTAGTTTGCATTTATGCCGATTCTTACTTCCTGCTAGTTCGAATTTGCATGTTTTCAAATTCTTATTGCGCACTTATGGTTGCTTTTATTCCAGTTCGCACTTGAGCCAGTTTTTTGCAACTGTATCGCTTTTACGTCAGTTTGCATTTATACAGCTTAGCACTTACGCTATTTGCACTTAGGCCAGTTCGTACTTTTGACATTCGCGCTTATTTAGTCGTCCCCTACGCGTATCTCTTGAACTCGAGGCTTTTTAAAATAAAAAATCACAAAATTTGTTTGATATGCTTTTAAGTTTTCTACAATGAAATACGCTCCCAAAGATTTTAACAGCATATTTCATTATAGAAAGTTTAAAGATTTACACAGATTCAGTAGACTTTGACTATTGACTATTAACTAAGTCAATTAGTTAAATACTGGTTTCAGTTTTTTTTTTTTTTTTTTCAATAGTTCTGAAAAAAAAAGGCTCACCTATAGACACCGACACGGTTTTTTTGGAGTTTTGATTAAGTTACCAGAAACAGAGTGAATTCAAACATTTATATATTGACGCTTATGCTATAACTTATGGCATAAGTAGATGTTTATATAGCTTATGTCATAAGTAGACGTTTATGTCATGTTTTATAACTTATGGCATAAGTAGATGTTTATATAACTTATGGCAAATTAGATGTTTTACAAAAAAATGCGACGATATTAAAGATTACAATGAAAAATTACTAATAGTTTTTTTTCCATCCTATACCTAAATATGAAATTAATAAGCTTATAAAGTATTATTATAAATTTATACTGGCATCCTTTACCCTTAATATGAAACCTAATGTTGACAAAAATTTTAAAATATAATTTTTTACTTAGCAGAGTTTTAAAAAATCATTTTAGTTTTTTAAAATTATGACCATGTAAAGTTTTAATCCCACTTTAAATGTCGGATTATATTTTTTTCATGGTCATAATTTTTGATTATTAAGAGATAAATATATAAAGTTTGAAATCTTTTAATATAAATATAGTTTTTAGATTTAAACAACATTTAATTAAATTGTTATTATTTTTCGCACCTCACACTTGAGGTACAGGGTGCAAAAATTCTACATTGCGAAAATTATGACTTTTAACAATATTTAAAAATATATATGACTTTTAACAATATATAAAAATTAACAATAAAAAGATTATTTTAACTTAAACTTGTTATTACTTTCAAATAAGTAATATCACAAGATATTATTATAGATAATTAATATATAAAAATATAATATCAAAAAGACATAACTACTCATAATTATTATAGATTATTTAACCACTCGTAATTTTTATAGATTATAGTAAGGCATATACGCGTGTGAAGCATACGCGTGCTTTTAACATTCTAAACTCACGAGTTGCGTGGATAATAGCGTAGATCTCAACCAATTGGAAAATATTTTATATACTCTATAATCTACAAAATGATGAGTACAATATTACTTGCTAAACGTGCAAAAGTAAATTTTTTTATTTGAAAACAACAAGTTTAAATGAATGGTTGTTGCACTTTTAAAGATTCCCAAGACAACTGATCAATGTAATGTTCAACACATCAATTCACAAAGTTCACGAATCTTTTTCAACGTCCTTCGAGAATTATTTGGAAATTTTGTGGAACAATTTGTTCTACAAAACAGATTTCAAATTGGAAAGTTTAATATTTGAAAATATTGAAATTGAAGCATGCTTTTGAAGCAAACAGACGCGTTCTTACAACGCGATTATCTTTTTTTATTAAAAACTGAAAAAATTGACCAATAGAGTTGAAAATGTCAAAATAATGTTTACAATAACAATCCCAAAGTGTTGAACATTTAAACTTATGCGATATTAAAATAGCTCTTAATCAGTCACGAAACAAACTCAATGAAATAAAAAATTCAAATTAAAAAGGGTTATAACAAGATAAAAAGAAATAAACATTTGTTTTATAACTAGGTAAAAAGAATGAAAATAAGTGTTGAAACAAGATAAGCATTTTAAACAAAAAAAAAACCTTTGATCTAACAGAAAACAGGTTTAAAAAAAAATAATCTGCAAAAAAATAGTGTAAAAGAAAAACCTATTGAAACCTGGAATGACTGCATACAGTTAAAATTATTTTTAAATGTGATTTTGAATGTGAGTAGACAAAATTACGAAACAAAAGAAAAATAACACTAGAGCTTTTAAACTATCAGAATAAAAATAAATTTTTAAATGCAGTTAAAAGCTTGCAAAGAGATTTTGTTTTGTTTATATAAATAATGATTTGAAAAAGAAAACTACCAAGAGTAACATAAAGTTATGAGAAATAGTTGAAAGACTATACGGTTAAGCTCTAATTCCTGATACGTTGCTACAAAGTATGAAAACATTTTAGGAAAAGAGAAACAGAACCGTATTGTTAATTTTTAAAAAATATAAATGAATAAATGACTGGAAAAAAATGACTGGATTTTGTGACTTTTGTGAAGTCCGTAAGTTTTATCTTTCCAAAAGAAAAAGCTGATGAAAATATATACTATGTAAAATTTAGAACCCGATTTGAAAATGTGGTCAAAACTTATCAACGCTAAAAGATTATTAAACGAAACTTAAAATATATCGATAAATTTAAGTTTTGTATAATTTTCTGAGAATGCTTTTTATAAACTGATTTTCCTCACTTATTTTTACTCGCAGACTCCAATCACTGCAATTTTTTGCAAAATACTTTCATTTGACATAAGCATGAACGAACTTTAGTTTAGAGTTTATTCAATCTTTTAAAGTGTCAAATCACAGACGTTCGTAGAACGTCTATACGACGTCTAATGGACTTCACGAGCCCAAAGGATCTCATAGAAGTCACAATAATCGTTTAAAAAAAATCATCATAGTTGATTTTTTTAAAAGAAAATGTATAAGCGAAAGGGATTTTTTGTTTTCAAACTTTATAACTTTAAAGATAACAGTCACTTGATACACTTTTATTATAAATAATTGATCAGATGATTAGTTGTCCAATGAACAAACGTATCTCAAAATTTATTTATTTTTCTTTTAGAATTTAGTATTAACCCAGAATATAAAATAAGAATAAGAAATAAAAATATACAAGATAAGAAAAAGTCCTCAGAATAAAGTAATAAAGATGAATTAAAAAGAATAAAGATGAATTAAAGAAAAAAAAAAATTCAATTTGCTGTAAATGACGTTTTAGAAGGAAAAAATAATTTGCGGAACTACTAAAGCTCGCAAAAGTTTAATAATGTCTCTCAAAAGGTATGTACAAATGTCTCTCAAAAGGTATGTACAAAAGGTATGTACAAATGTCCCTCAAATGTCTCTCAAAAGGTATGTACAAAAGTTATGTACAAATGTCTCTAAAAAGGTATGTACAAAAAAAGAAAAATTCTACTAGTGAAATTCAGTATTATTACTGTCAATAAACCGAAAAAATTGTAGATCGCAAGGGCTTCAAGCAAGTTTCAAAAGTACCTTCAGGACAGCATGAGCAGATTGCTACAGTTTGTACAAGATTTAATGCTTTGGAAAACCACTTACCACAATTTATGATATTTTAACACAAAAACTGGAATTAAGTAGATGGTGAACAACCAGAAACAGAGGGAGTTCCACACCCTAGCTCTAATGTAATATATTATTTGAGATGTTTTATGAATAATATCTAAAAAATGAATCAATGAATTTTTGTAAAGATAACAGAATTCATGTTACGAATATTTCATCTCATACATCTTCGAAACTACAACTTTGGAATCAAATAATAATTGGGACAATAAATTATAATAACACAGTACGTTATAACTGGATGGCATCATCCTCATCCCGGGCTTCCACTAACTATACATGATTTAGCTTTGGTTAAAAAAATGCAAATTTTGTGAAAAGTTTTGACATTTTGAATCTATTAAACTCGTCGTCATTTAATATTTATATCTGATGATGGCTTGTTTTAAAAACAAATAAAATACAACTATTATTATTTTTTATTTACTTTATATAAGTATGGTGTGACATTTAAACATTTTCTTTATTACGGGATACCTAAAACACTATTGCATTGCATGTCACCAAGCCCGATTTAACGCGCCACATTTAACTTATTTATTTGTGGCGTGAAAAATTGGGCTCGATGACATGTGACAAGTGTTTTAGATGTCTCGTGACAAATAAAAAGTTTAAATGTTACGTCATGCTTAATTTAGAATGGTCTTGTGACTAATTTAATTCTTAATGTTGCGTGTTAAGTCGGGCTACGAGACATGACTGTTTTATTAGAAAATTTAGCGTGACATTTTTTACAGTGTAACAAATGAGAAAACTTACTTCGTTCGCATTTAATAATTACATCATTTCTTTCACAGTAAATCAATCCATCTTTAATATCTTTCCATAGTTTGTTAGGATTCATTCTAAACCAACTCTTTAGAATTTGATAGGTTTGTTCAGAGACTGTAATGAACTCACTCAAAACACAATCAATTTTTTCATCGCTTATACCCAATCTGCGAGCAAGTTTTTTCCAGTCATTAGGTAATTCATACGCAAGCGTGTTTAGCACTTCTTGGGGAATTTTTTCAACTAAAAAAATGGAGGAGCTTTGTAAAATTAAATATCAAATACATTTTATATTTATTAAAAAAAAATTACCTCTCAAATAATCGAATTTGTTGCAAACCTCTTGATCATTCATTTGTTTTCGAAGAACCGTTTTTTCTAATAAAGTTATAATGTTTTATTAAAAAGTAAGTTTTTAAAAATAGCGCTTACAACTGTAAAAACTTCTAACTTCAACTATGAGGAACTTTCTAGTTTTTATGTTCAGCAAAAACTTATTGTTATATTAAATGAAAAGAGAGATTATTTATCTATTGTTAATAATAAGAATTTTAGATAAAACTTTTGAGGAATATTTTCATTAAATACCATAATGACAAAAATACTCCCACAAACAGATTATTATATACAAAGATTTGCAGATTCTATAGGAAATATTATTATTGCAATATGTAATAACGTAATATGCAGGAACATAGTGAGCTAAAGCGGGCGCCGGGGTAAAATTTATTGCGGGCTTTTTTTACAGCAACACTAATGTCCTTATGGAGCACGTAACATAAACTTATCATACTTAAACTCAACAAAACGATGTGTCTTAAGACACTTACTCAGCAAGCATACCCATGCGGAACCCGTACGGTTTTAATATGGATTAGATTTGCCTAAAGATTCTAGCTTTTACACACAGAGAGACATATTGAAACCAAATCTGTTGCAGATGGTAAGTATTGCTACATTGGATTGCAATTTTGGTTTTCTCTACTGTTAAAAAAATCTCTTCTTTTAATAGACCTTTCATTTTTTACTTTACATATCAACATCGATGGTATTCCGCTGTTTAATAACTCAAACATGTCACTTTGGCCGATTCTGGGTTCTTTTTTAGAGTTTGAACAGAACGGGTTTCCAATTGCTTTTTTTTTCCAGTTCTAGTAAACTAAATTTTATCGAAAAATATTTAATAGATTTTATTGATAAAATGAAACGTTTTCAAGAAGTTGGTGTTATCAGTGACAAGACTGGAAAGACATACAAAATAAAATTAGAAGTAGTTATTTGTGATGCATCAGCTCGGTCGTTTTTTAAGTGCATTAAAACACATAATGGATACAATTGTTGTGAACAATGTATTCAACATGGCAAGTGCTATCAAAAAATAGTTTTACCTGACTTATCTAAGGACTAATATAGACTTTTTAAATCAACATGATTCAGAACACCATACTGCAATATCTCATTTCACAAAGTTAAATTATGATAGGGTAAGTGGGTTTCCAATAGATTATATGAATTTAAAACTTATGGATTTGTGACCCACCATCATGTAGATTGTCCCAAAGTATTATTACAGTAATTTCAGAAAAAACTTTCTACTTTACGACCATATATTTCAAAAGAATTTTCTAGAAAGTTTCGTTCCTTATCTGAAGAGCTATATGGTAGAGATCAGCTAGTATATAATGTTCATTCAATAATACATTATTATGATTACTTTCATAATAATTTACTAAAACCAACAATATGAATACTAAATTTACTAAAACCAACAATATGATTACGTTGACAGGTATCAGCATTTTCAAATATTCTTTTGGCCATATGTGAGCATGGTCCATGCTCACATATGGCCAAAAGAATATTTGAAAATGCTGATACCTGTCAACGTAATCATATTGTTGGTTTTAGTAAATTACACACTGAAGGTCCTGTAAATATAACACTGAGACATTAGATTCAGTTCAAACAGTATTAAAATAAGAATTATTTCATGTCTAACAGTGTTGGAGGTAATTGCTATGAAATACATGATAAAATTAGAATTGTTAGAAATGTTTTAAAACCAACTGCCAGGAATGATAATGCTTATGTTCTTTTTGAAAGGTTTTTTTATCAAAGAATCTTTTTTTTTTTAAATCCATGAAGTTCTTAAAAGTTGAATATTTTTATTGTTGAAAGAACTGATGGTTTGTATGAGTGTTTACCGCTCAGTGGCCTAGTAAAAAAATATCTTTGTTTACCATATAAAAATGAATTTATTGTAATGCCTTAATTGCACCTTTAAAACATTTTGAGATTTTGTATTTGCTTTTTTAATTTTGAATTTTCATATCAGATTTTTATGTGCTTACCACATCAGTAACACTAATCTGTAACATTATAATATGCATAATATAAACATCCAATGTTTGTTACCTTTGAATGTTAACTTTTAAATGTAATTAATTTTTTCTTTGTTTAAAAATAAATTTATTATTTTACAATATTTAAAAATTAATTTTGGTAATTATTAGTTTTATATTTAAAACATAATTACTGGAATGTATGCTATTGTGGTTTTTGACAATCAGATAAAAACTGAGTATATTCCCTTTAATTGGATAATTAAGAAAATTAAATTTCAAAAAGTTTCAGCTTTGGTTAGACAGCGTGTAGAAATAAAATACTACTGGCCTCCATGGTCAAATTTCAGCAAATCAGTAAAGCATAAAAGCTAGGTTCTGAACCTGAAACAGATTGGAAAATTTACTCTTTTTGATTGTTTGCAGTTGCAGGTAAATTTAGGTTTATAATTTAAATTTTTAATTATAATTAAGTTAGTTGGGCTGGTAAGCTTATACATTTTTTTTTAAATTTATTTTGCAAAATATTTGTAATAAAAAACTCTTTAATAAATGACTTTAAATTAAGTGAATTTTTCATTAACAATTAAATTATCAGTAATTGACTTGGAAAAAAAAAAGTAGAAAGTATTAAAAAGTAAGGTAGAAAGTATTAAATAGTAAGGTGAAAAGTATTAAAAAGTAAGGTAGAAAGTATCAAAAAGAACCTCTTTTATCTTTAAAAGAGTTAAAACAAATATATTTTCAGAAAACAAGAATATTCTTTGTTTTTCTTTTTAAAAAAATATTATTTTGAATTCTAAAGTATAACAAAAAACATTGTTTTTAACTGCATTATTTTACAATTTACAATTAGTTAAAATAAGCCTTGCAAAACTTTTTTACTTGCAAAAAGTTAGATTACTGCATCAAAGTCTAGTTTCCTTGCAAAAAACGTTTTGAAAATTACTCGTTTTTCAAAATGGAAAGTGGATCTTGATACATCGTAGAACATAAAGCATTTTAATCCCTTATAAATTTTGCGAAAGCGCGTTATCTAGTGCAACAGTCACTGCAAGAGTTCAAAAAGCTCTAAGAACAACTAAAATGTTTGGAAAAAGAGAAGTAAGATTTAATTCATGAAGTTTGTTCAATAATTGAAGGAGTGATAAATATATTTATTCTAGATTTCAAACAAGAACTGTCCTTAAATGTTCTAACTCGTCTATCAAATAAAAAAGAAACATCAACTCTGTATTTAATGCAAACAAGTAAAACTTTTCGTACAGCAGATCTTTATCTAATGTCTTACACTTTCATACAACAACAGATGAAGCTTCAAGATCCGTGGCTGCTTCAAAACGCTGATTCATATTTCCTCTGACACATTCTATAAGAACATCACCCTTGAAGCAAAATTCATCACCCTTGAAGCAAAATTCTGCTCTGGTGTTGCCTGATTTATGACTCGTTGCCTCATATGTCATCTCAATCTAGCATTTCTCTGAAAAAATGTTATTAGATAATTTAAATTTTCAATCGCCACATTTAAAATTGCATCTCTGGTTTGCAGAACTTTGTTTCTGTAATTTATGCAAGTTAAAATTTAAAACCAGGTCCTTAGGAGTATAATGCACTCAAATGAACTAAAGTTTTTTTCAACGTTTTTGATATCTAATCGAGTTTCAGCAGTCCAATTTAGCTCCTTTAGGTCTTAGTTAGCATTCTTTAAAAGATATTGTCCATTCTAGCTGACAAAAGTATATTTGCCATCTACCATCCTACCCCCATTCTGGGGAGCCTTGCCACGGCTCTAAATATATTATGCAATGTTTTTTTTTTAATTGGCAAATTTTGCGGGCTAGAGGTGAACAAGTTATAAGACTTCTGCACAACACCGAAAAAGTTTATAAGTTCTGTACAACACTCTATGACAAGCGCTTATCATAGAGTGTTGTATGTACAGTATATAAAAGATAAATATAATTTATCTTTTATATTTTTATTATCAGTACCATAAATTTGCCATTTACACAAATCATGTTTATACTAGAAAGTCCGGACTCAAAATAATAAATCGAAGCTTTAATTTAATTGTCCTTTTATTGGTTTTTTAGCTTTGAAACTTCTTTCTGTTCTATTACTAAAGCCCTTTTTATTTTATTAAATAATGCGGCGAAATTTATTTAGAAAAAAAAAGATAAATAATGATAATAATATTTATTGTTTTGATTAAAAATGACATGTACATTTTATCATGGATTAGCACTAAGAACACTAAGACAATTTGCATATCAGTATGTAAGTTTTGCATATTTTGCATAAACATAGCTTTTAATAGGAATAATGTATGCTACATTTTTTAGAATTTAAAAAGTTTATTAAATCGGTACAATTTTGGGCCATAGTAGTTAAAGTATTAGTTCTATCGTCTTTACAACGTTCTGTTCTATTAATCAAGCCATATTTATTTTAATTGATAATGCGGCAAAATTAATAACGAATAAATTAATAAATACTGTAAAACAATACAATTGGCCAACTTTATACTTTATTGTCTGCAAACCAACTATTTATTTCAGCATTCATCTAGATCATATTTTGAAAATGTGGAAAATACTCAGCAAAAAATATCCGGGATATATTTTGCCTTGCCAATCATTTTCAATGATATCTCCAATGCGGTTAATCTTCAATTAAATTTTGTTTATTAAAAATATTGAAGGTTGATAAATTATTATAACAGAAAAATCCATAATACTAAAAGACCTTGACAAAAGAGAATCGTTTTTATCTTTTTTTTTTATTAGGTATTTAGGTGCTCCCAGAAGTCTTTACGGTCTTATCACGGAGCACCACGAGAGAGCATTTAACTAGAAGTTCACGCTTCCTTCCTTACCAATATCTCTTATTGGGCTAGAGCCGTCGTCGAACCCCGGACCTTTGGGTTCTGAGCCAGAACTCTAACCACTGCGCCACGGCTGCTCTATATCAAATATCTATATCTATATCAAAGAGATATGGCATTCCATAACAAACATTGTCTGGATGGTCAAAAGCAAAAAACACAATATTTTGTCGAGTCGAAAAAAATTAAAATTCTCTGCGAAAAGAGAGTCTCCCTAAATGA